TTTAGCTGCAATTTTGCAGTGTTGCACAGGTAAACTTCAGCCTACCATGTTTAAATATGTAAAATTAAAAGTTGTAACCTGAAAACAATAAATATTGCCAATTTATTTGATTCTGAGCATCGCAAACTCTGGATGATGTATTATAAGTTTATTACGGTATGTGCATATTTCAAGGTGTGTCCTCTAGACAGTACAGTCGCTTTATGTTAATCCATACTCAAACTCTGGGCACAATCCAAAATGTTGTCAAAGTATCGATGGCACTGTGTTCTTCATAGTTGTTAAAGTACAAAATAATTTACCAGTATATTGATTTCTTAACTCAACACATAGTGTTACCTCAAAATGCAGCATTTAATCAGACTCTGGGCAACCTATCAACAAGAACTTTATTGACAATAAATGCTTATAAACCACCTGCTATGTACAACAAGGTAAGAAATTGTACATAAATATCTTGGTCAGTAATTTGCATTGTGTGAATCATTCAGACCTTGACAGTAAAACAGGATTTACTACCGGGTATTAGACACAATTAAGGGGTATTGACCTACTTCATTAAAGTTTCATAAAATGTACATCTAGAACCAAAAAAATTTATCCCTCCCAGATATGCTAGGGCAATTTTATAGATTGACCTTGAAAATAGATGCCCTCCCAACCCAACAATTAACACCCCATCTTTCAATAAATTAACAATATTTTTTTTTTATTATAGGAATTTACAGAATTTGCCGTAACAGTTCTGGAAGTCGATGAGAGTATTACATGGACAATCTCATGTTGTAATGTCATCAAATTGAACCTAACAAAAACAAAATTACAACAGATAACGATAATTATGCAAACCGTGAAGACGGAGTGATACAAACGTCAGATCACAGATTGTTATTGTAAATGACATGAAGATAACCTGCTTTGAACACTGTCTGGTTTTTATTGACAATAAAGAATATGTACTTTTTTGAAAGTGAGACTTCACAGGTGAAGTTTCTGACCTGGAGTCGTTCTCTTAGCAATGTATCTTCAGATTACAATCACTCGAGAGTCTCTATTTAGTGACTTTTCTAATTTGACGTTATCAGATGATAACCAGGGCCTAACAATACATGCACTGTTATTTAAAGTCGTGGTTTCAGAGTATTCCTGTGTTATAGGAAAATTTATACTGGCAACACAATACCAGTATGGTTAAGACCAGATCCGAACAACTTGTTTGATGCTCAAGTCTGTAGATTTTGATTTTGCAGAACTGGGTTATTTAGACCGAGAATTGACAACATATGTACACCCTCTTTTAAAAGCCAATAATTATAACTGATGTTGTTGTAGATAATATAAAGTTTCGAACTACCTGGCTAATTATTG